GCTACAATAACCTGCTCCTGATCCTCTGGGAGCTCCTTGTTCTCAGTACAAAGACTCATGAACTCTGTTTGACTTTTGTGAACCAACGCTGCACCAAGAATCAGCTGCTGGGTTTTTAACTTTACTCTGTCGTCATAATTCAAGAACAGACATAGATTTTTAAAAGACAGTTTTTGTGTGTGTGACAACTGAAGTATTTTGAGTGAAGTTTTCATTACTCACTTATTTCTGTGAATTAAAACAGAAGAAACAAACAGCTGGAGGACGTCTGCAGGTGCGATGGTGTGGCAGCAGCTTGACTCATCACAGCCAGTTGGTTCCAGTTAACGTCCTCACTGTCACAGGGGTGTTAGAGGATGAGGGGGCTGCTGATGACTCACCTGAGTGAAGGCCACCTGCCTGGGGGAGGGCCGAATGAGTTCAAGGGGGGAGCCATCTCACCTTCCAGATTCAGTTACGGAGAGGCAAACATGAACACAATAGGCTCAATATACATGAGATCAAAAAAAAAAAAAAAACCTAAGATAAAAGGTCCAAAATGCTGCCGGTCCATACAGAACCTCAGGCTGACTCTGTGGGCGAGCACAATGAATCTGTCCAGGATACAGTGACGGCTCAGTTTACCCAAGAAAAATCCCCATGTGAGACAAAAACATTTGTCTCACATGTAAAAAGGGGGATTCACGTGTCCTTTGTAGTTTCTCTCTTTTCAGAAACACTGTCAGTTGAAAAACACTGAGTGATAGATGTGGAGAAGCTTCTGTTTAGTGAAACTGGGAGATAAAGACAAGCAGAGAGTCAGGAGTCATATACTAAAATAAGACAACGTCAGTGAGCTTCACTAACCTTCTGTTATTTTGTTTTTTAGATCCAAACATGGACGAGGTGTTGGAGAGGAAACAAGCTGTGTGGTGGAAAACTACAGGTAATGAGACGTTATCTGTGTAAAGGGCTCCACCTACTGGCCGACTGCAGGAATCATCACACTGATGAAAGCAGCACTTCTCCAGCTGGATAATATTTCAGAGCAGAGACATTTTACATGACATTTTAATCTGTCTGCTGCTCTATTCAGACCGTTCATTATGTATCTGACCTAATTCTTGCTTGGCCTTTATTTTAGCTTTCAGCCTGTGCTTCATTAAATCTGCATTTGATATGTTAATAACCTTTTTTGTTGAGAGCCTCCTCCTCCAGTAAACACTGTTGGAATCATCCTCAGTCTGTATCTGTGGTTATTAGTAAATGTTCCATGAGCGGAGACGGTTCACATCAATTTAAAGATGCAGGAACTGTGAGAGTCAAAGGAGTCTTTAATCCTCCTGCCATGACCATTGATGTGTCTGCTCCTTCATCTCCTCCACCCACGGAGCTCCACCTCCCTCAGCATGGTTCATTTTACCCAGCTGACCCTCCACAACCAGAGAACGACTCCCTGTCAGTTACACTGAGAATTCATTTTTCCCTTTGGTATAAAAGTAAAACAACAAAGAGGCTTCAGAGGTTAAAGTCTGACTTGTGATGTTGATGTGATGTGTTGATTTTGTATAAAACCATAAAACAAAAATCCTAAGATAAGATGAACCTTTATTGATCCCCTGTAGAGGAAAGTCAAATTGACACAGCAGCACAAGGGGGAAAATATAATAAAGAAATAAAATAAGAATAGCAACAGAGTCTAGAAATAAAATATCTAAAATGCCTAAAAGAGTCATGCAGAGTTGATTGTCCTCTCGTTTCATTTGAACCTATATTTCTACAGAACTTCGCAAACTCCATCTGTTGATGAAGACTATGTAATATGATCAAAAACCCCATAACAGCTACTAAATATACCTCAATAATTAAGTATAAGTTATAAACACATCTTATTATTTTCTAATTGTCACCTCCAGTGATCCCAGGTGAAGATCACTCTGCTCTTTGACTCCTTGAATATGATTTCTGCATCACTGACTTCTATGATTTTAAATGTTAGGTTCTAACCACACTGGTGGGGCATTGTTTTAATATTGGTTATTAAACGATAAACTGATATTTAAAGTCAGATTAAAGTCAAACCACAGAATACTTCCCAGTCTCAATGAATGTTATTCACTGCCAGTCATTTAGAGTTGACAAGTCCATTTCAAATGATCTTAACACACAGTGATCTCAACTCTGAACAGTATAGACCAGGGCTGCTCGATATGCAAAAAAATCATATTGTGATTTCAGTGTGAATGATCATTTTTACATTTTCACAGAAATCTTTTTTAAATGATGATGTGATTTTAGTTGGTCATGTTCCTTTACGTCTGGAGAATGTGATTTGTAGGTCAGGGCATCTCTGTAGCACCACAACACTGATGATGCTAACAATGCTAATGCTAACAATGAATAACAATATCACACATTTTACCGTTGTCAAAAAAACTGCAGCTCGTGTGATTTGGATATTGAACCTGACCATAGTGAGATGTCCTTATTTGGATTAATTGTGCAGCTGTAGTTCAGACAACCCTGATGAATGGTTCTCTCTCTGGATCAGGTGGATCCTGACAGTTTCTCTGTGAAGTAGTTCTGTCACGATGGACACAGGTGTTCTCCACTGGAGCTGGATTTAGTTTGAGTCGAGTAAAGTCGAGTTTCTTCCCGAAACAAAGGATGTCATTTGCTTTACAAACCAAACACTGTCTGTCTGTTCCCCAAAGAACAGCCTGTCAGTGTGTTACACAGTGAGGCAGCACTTCTGTCTTCTTCTGTTTAATAGACAATCACACATGTTAATCCATGGAGTTCCAGGAGTTCAAATACAAAGCAGGAATTACAGTATGATCGTTGTTTATCAATGACTTACTCATTGTCATGTGATACCGCTTTACATCTGTGGAGGGATTCTGGTCAGAGGGAACCAGTTATGAGTAACTGTTGAATCACGATGTGCAGGGAAAGACTTGAACTTGAACTCTTTCCTCAGACTCTTTCAGACCCTCAGGGCAGAGAAACAAGAGGATCTTAAAAAAAAAAAAAGTAGGGATGAAACAGGACGGCTTCAGAGGAAGAGGGAAAGTGTTCTGGTAATACTTTCTGGAGGTTGTATCCCTGTGTATTAATCTGAACACGGGCTACACAGGTGAAAAATAAAACATCATTTATACACTTCTTACATTACAGATACAAGCACACGGTTGTGTAATGAATCGGTGGTTTGTATGTTTTATCCCTTTTACTACAAATATCACATACATCACAATTAACCATTTGTTTTATAAATCTTAATGCATTTTCTACCTTTACCAGCATGTATTATTTTTTATTCCTCTGAAATAAACTATAAACTTACAACACAGAGAAAATCAGTCCAAGTGAACGATTGTGCCAAATCTGAAGGGATTCCCCTGAGGAGTTCATGATATTGAGTTCACAAGACCAAAATCATGTTTTTATGAAGTCACCCTGACATTGACCTTTGACCTTTAGCCACCAAAATCTACTTAGTTTGAGCTTGACTCCAGGTGAACATTTTTGCCAAATTTGAAGAAATTCCTTCAAGGCGTTACAGAGAGATCGCATTCACAAGGCTAAAACCATGTTATATTAGGTCAACACGCCCTTGACCTTTGACCCTCAATATCTAATGCGTTCATCCTTGAGTCCTAGTGAATGTTTGTGCCAAATTTGAAGAAGTTCAATCAAGGTGTTACTGATGGATGGACAATCTGAAAACAACATTATAACAGAAATGAATGGAAGATAATGGCTGCTGTTTCATACCTGTATATATTACATATAAAAATGTGAAGTGTCCACAATCTGTAACTACATCCCTCTCTGCAGCTTACTGATGCATCATGCTCCTGCTAACAACAACAGCTAACTGACTGAACATGAATGTGCATGAATTCCCTCCCGATCTGTCAGTCCATTAAACCCAGCTCTGTTCACCTTTGCATTTAGAGAAAACTTGACAGACTGAAACGATGTCAAATGTCAGACGTTTCCTCATCATCTGAACTGGGACACTTCTTAAAATACTGCACTCCAGAGAGAAATGTTCCAGAACATTCAGAGTCTGCATCACTCTCAGGTTTCCTTCCTGCTTTCACACATCCAACTTTATTATCATTATTTCTGTCTGACGCTCGGCTGTGTGAGAAGAAGCTTCACACTGTTTAAAATAGCTTCCATCTGTCCTCAGATCGTCTTAATGCAGGGCTGACGGAGCAGTAGGTTCTCTGTGAACAGAGGTCTGCTGTTTTATCACTTTTTTATTTGCTCATTTATTTTCAGCCACTAAGACTTAGTTTTCCTTTGTGTCCTGCTCATATCCATCCGGTCATATTATTTATTATTATGTCAGGCGTTTTGTGGTGACGTGGCAAGAGCCAATCAGCACCATGGAGAGCTGCTGCACCCATCCGTTGTCATAGGCAACGCCCCGGTAGTAGTCTTGCACGTCATTTATATTAAATTTTTTAATGAACAAAAAATAAATATATAATTATGCATGAGAGGTTTGTGTATGTTGTTGTATATCTCGTGTGTTTGTGCAGGTGTTGGTAGTTCTGACTGACTCGATGCTGTTTGTGGTCCTCTCCTCTGATTGGCTGAGCAACTTCGACGCTGTTGGAAAAGCTGGCGCCACCTGCGCTAATAGCTACCTAATGGCTCTTGTCTGTCGCATAGCAACCTCGTTGTTTGACCGCCGGTTCAGAGGCAGCTCATTGGTTCACGGTACAACAATAAAGTGAAGCCTGTCAGACAGAGTGTGAAAAAGCTGTGAGCTGATGAAGATAGTCATATCTGATTTAAACCCTGTCGTGATTACGTCGCTCATTCTGCCGCTATCTCAGCGTCTACGCACATTTTCTGCGTAAACGCCGCTGTCCTGTCTTTTGTTCCTCATTCATGAAGCGACGTCACAATCTGAAGATGTGTCAACGTGAACTGTAACCCTCCGCTGAAGAGGGACTGGCCCTTTAAGGGTTATGTAGCGCTGCTAGCCGATGTAGGACGAGCCGACAGTGCGTCTGCTGCCTGCGCTCCCGCCGCTCTCCCCGTCATGGCCTCCACTCAGCCGCCGCCGACACCACCGAGGATGAACCGACCAGACAGCGGCCCTTCCCTTCCCGGAGCGGAGACGGACGTCAAGCCGAAGCAGAGGCACCGGTAGAGGCGAGCCGCGCCGGGGAGAGCCGCCTCACATCCCCATGCCACCCCGGTCTCCTCCATGCCTTCGTCTAGAGCCAAGTACAGCTATTCGATAAAGAGGGGTGCGAGCCCGGGCGGCGGCGGCGGCGGCGGCGGAAACATGACAACGAACCGGGATTATTCCGTGAATCTGTCGGTGCAGCAGGTGCTGAGCCTTTGGGTGCAGGGCACGACGCTGCAGCACTTCACAGGTATGCGGAATGAAAGGTGCCGTGAATGTGCCGCGTTCATGTTCACAGAGTCAGCTCCATCAGCTGTAGGAGTGAAGCCTGTCGCTGTTCACTCGTCCATTTAAAGCAGAAAAAACCTGTATGTGATATTTCTGCTCACATGCTGAGTGAGCTGAGCTGCTCCCATGAAGGGGGTGGGGTGGGGTGGGGAGGGGAGGGGGGCTCTGTATCACCTCCAGGCCCGGGAGTCAGTGCTGGTGATGCCAGCCGGGCCACAACAGAAAAACCACTCCTCTGTCCAGACACAGAGTCAGTGAATAACATGAGAATAATCACACCATAGGCTCATTCATCATTCTGCTGCTGGAGATGCCTCCACTGTGTAGTAAATGAAGTGTCGTGCCCCCCTCCCTCCCTGTACCCCTCCCTTTGTCGTGCAGTCCAGTAATCTAGGGGCAATTAGAGACAGCATCCTCCACTCACTGTCTGGACTCTGAGAGACTGAGGATGAGTTAAAATCACGGGTTTTTTAAAGGGAGTTCTGAATGGCAGGGTCAGCAGATACCAGCTTTAATGTGAATATTATATATATTATATACATATATTAGTGACTGACAATAAATTCAATTCTTGCTCCCGATGACAGAGTAGTGAGTTGCTTCCCTCTGAGAAAATACCTGTTTTTGCTTTGATCAAAATGGACGTGACTGCAGGCCAGGCTCTACACTGGGGGGGGGGGTTAACAGATGTTGATTGGTCACTAACTGCCAGACCTCAACACTCATTACAGGGACCCTCTATGAGTATTCTCATGGACTTTAAGCTACAACATCCACTGTTTTCTGTTATCTAACACTCAAGTCATAGAATCGAATTACACATAAACCCATAATGTATTTAATTGTATTTTTTGAGAGAGAAATGTGCTGCTACTACACAGAGTAAAACTGAAGTTAGCTAACACTAACACACACGCAGCTAACGAGCTAACTGCTACATCTTGAAGGTGATTGCAAATGATTGACAATAATTATAATTATTATAATAATAGGCTGGTTGGTGGTTACCAGAGTTTAAGCAACTGAGTAGTGATGAAGTGAAATGATATTCTGATTATTTGAATGTGGCATGGTTATGATTGGTCAAATCAACGATGAAAAAATGAATTCTTCTCAGTTATTTTTTAATTTTGGGATGAAGCGGGACGATGTGTCGGATCATGTAAACTGTAAACTAGATGTTCTCTCAAATAAAGGTGATGATCTTTTCTTGGGAGTAGCTGTCTGAGCTTTGAGGAGAATGGATTACAGTCAAAACAGTCAAGTCCATTTGAAATAAATTAGGAACAAAAAATGAGTGTGTGAGAATTTTATCTTTCCTCTGCAGACAGACTGAACTTCCTCACAATTAAACTGCTGCTCACCATCTGTTCAAAACACTGTCGTCATTTTAGAGGGTCAGATAAAATAAAGCTGGTGTCTATAGAAACAGGATCGCTCTGGTATAAATACAGATTATAGAAAGTCTTGAATGCCTGCAGAGTGAAGTGAAGGCGGACATGTGGTCACAGCTGAGTTGGCTCAGACCCATCTTATGAAACGCAGCTGACATCCTGTGTTGAGAAACACATGGAGCTCAGAGGTGGTTAGCGATGCTGACTCAGCAGGAAGCTGCAGAGCGAGCAGAAGTTTGCGGAAGCAGCGAGTGGAGAGCTGTGAGGAGCTGACACCCAAGGTTCAACACACCGCCACTTGACACTCCCCAACCCCACAGTTCACCAGCCAGGTGAAAAACGACCTCTTGGGACATTAGACAAGGTCAGGAGGGTGGGGGTGGGGGTGAGGGGCGAGCCTCAAACAATGAGAGCAGTAGAGTCCAGAAGCAGATGTGAACTTCAAGATACATCAGCTTTTAACCTCTCGTCGGTCCAGAGGTGCTGAAGCTGATGACTTCCTGTTTTTGAAGTTTCACTTCAGCAGTTTGTTTCCTCGGCAGAAAATGGACGTACTGTATTTCTCCTGTAGGTCTGTTCATCAAACATGAACGTGAACTCCACCTGACACAATGCAGGTCAATGAAACAGCATTAACAGCTGTTTATCTACCAGCCGCTTCAGCCGTCGTTGTGTTTACAATACAAGAGGTTATAATACGTCCTCTGAGCAGACCGGACACTACAGTGACTCGGTTTCGGAAAGTGACGAGACAGGCCGGCCAGAACTGGGCTAGCTGGTTAGCATGCTAACTTCAGTACAAGAAAAATAGTGGTATAAATACAGGCAGAACAAACATGTTTGTTTCCACCTCTGGAGACAGCTGTTGGTGAGTAAAGGAATGAAGTTTGATCGTTTGCTTCGATCACTGCTCAACAGCTCTGTCTTCATTAACTCACTGTACCTGCGACCTGCCGGCAGTACAAGGCACACAGTTAGCAGCTAGCCAGTGAACATAGCCGAGCATTTAGCTGCTAAAGAACCAGACATTCTCTCACTAGCTGGTGGAGTGTTGGACTCAGCATGTGACCAGAAACATGATGGTACTGCTGCTCTGTGGGCTGGGTGTGTTCAGCCATATCAGCTTCATTAGGTGATAATGTGTCAGTGTGTCTACAGCTTAGTCACCAGTTTAATGATATGAGACACATGTGGAATGAAACCCTGTGATAGGCTGTGACCTGTGCAGGGTGGACCCGCCTCCTGCCCAGTGTCAGCTGGGGAAAAGATAAGCTAAAAGCTAGTGGATGGACATATGGAAGCTGATCGTCCAGCTCCAGGTGGAAACACCTTTGTCAGGATTCTCTGCAGTGTTCAGTACAAAGACCAGACTGGACTGTCTTTATCACCACCAGCCGGACGTATCCTAGCTCTCCCTCCCTCCCTCCCTCCCTCTCCATGATGGGACAGACCTCACGCTCGGTATTGGCTCGTGTCTCTGAACATGACACAGCATATCTCTCAGCCTATAGGTGAGCTCTCTGAGCTGTGACCACCTTGAAATTAAATGTCCACCTTCCAACATCTGCTAAATCATCATCAGTCATTTCTCTGAGCCAGAGTAAATCAGGAGTCAAGTGTTTCCACTGGAGCATTTCACCCCGATAATTCTCTCCCTGTAGTTGTTCATTTAAAGCTCGATCACATTACATCAGCCTGGTAATTCATCGAGAAGTGCCACTGAAATCTTCTGATTAAATCATTTGGATGTTAGTGTGAATGTGGCAGGTGACATTCAGCATTTATCCACCAAACACAGATTTTACTGGCAGTTAGTTCTCAGTGGTTGTTAAGGTCAGAGCCTGTTCCTCTATCAGTCAAATGTCTATTATACATTCTAATAATATATTGTTAATACTAATGCATCAATGTGTAAGTAGTATTTAACTATTGTACTCGTCAAGATTGAGCTGGTTTTAACTAGTTTATCTTATGGCCATAACTAACAATGATTTTCACCATTGATTACTCTGCACATTATTTTCTAAAACAGTTTTTTCTTTTAAATAGAGATAATGAAACATGCTTGTTACAGTTTGGCAGATCAAGACATTTGGAGACGAGACCTTGAACTGTGACAAAGTCTAAGAGACAAAGAAAAGCATTGTGTGTGAAGCTGAAGCCAGAGAACGTCGTATTTGTTCAAAAATTACTAATTACTCATCACTGCTGCTAAATCTATTATTATCAGATTATCAGAATAGTTGACGATTAATTTTCTGTCAGCTAATCAATTAATCAACCAATTGTTGCAATGTTACTTTTTTATGCACTGAAGTTTTTTTGGATTTTCGTCTTCTTTTGTGAATTATTGGATAATCTAAACTTTAAATGAAATTGAAAATGAAATTTTGGGACATGTCCTCCTGTGGCTCGACAGGCTCCCATGTTGAGCATGTAACTCCATCCAGGCTTTAGTTGGTGACAGATGCCGGTCTGCCACACATCCAGGACTGGACGAGGGCTCCTGATGGAGCGGGCTGGGACTGGATGAGGGCTCCTGATGGAGGGGGCGGGGACTGAACGAGGGCTCCTGATGGAGCCGGCTGGGACTGGATGAGGGCTCCTGATGGAGGGGGCGGGGACTGGATGAGGGCTCCTGATGGAGCAGGCTGGGACTGGATGAGGGCTCCTGATGGAGGGGGCTGGGACTGAACGAGGGTTCCTGATGGAGCGGGCTGGGGCTGGACGAGGGCTCCTGATGGAGCGGGCTGGGGCTGGACGAGGGCTCCTGATGGAGGGGGCGGGGACTGAACGAGGGTTCCTGATGGAGCGGGCTGGGACTGGACGAGGGCTCCTGATGGAGCGGGCTGGGGCTGGACGAGGGCTCCTGATGGAGCGGGGTGGGACTTCTCTGGGTTCTAAGCCTAACATGGTGAAAATTTACCAAATGAGACGTTGCATCATGTAGAGGAGACGGCAGCTACTGACACACACATCCTGAATATCAGCTTCTCTAATGTGAGACTGTCTCTGTTCTACAACTGTAAACTGTTGGATGGAAAAAACAACATTTGAAGCTGTTAATAACTCTGGGAAACCATGAGGGATGTTTAAGCGCCCACTGTCCTCCACTACTCTGACTCTTATGTCCCATCACAGACGGACGGAGACGTCTCCCTCCTCTCCTGCTGGATGGCGAGCAGCAGCGGTGGACGGCGTGTGGTGATGTCACAGAGCTCAGTGATGTAGGACAAGAGGCTGTTGTGTCTCTGGTCACATGGACACAGAGCGGCCGCCATGAGAAACTCTTGGTAATAGAATCAGGTCTCTGGGTGTTTACTCCACACAACGTCACGTTTCCTGTTTATACCACTTGGTCCAAACAGAACATTCCTGAGCTCTGATTGGTCGATCTTATCCGAGCTGGACGTCCTCTGTCCTTGTCTCTTTTCTTCTGGAATAATCTGGTGGCCAGCTGGCTCCTCCTCCTCGCTCCCACGCTGCCAGTGGTTCAGAGCGAGGCCCCTCACTGGCAAAGCGTGATGGGGGGGGGGGGTCTTTATGCAAAGCTGAGACAGACAGAGAAAGGAGGAAGAGGAGGAGGAGAGAGGTTTTGAATGGGGCTGACTCTGATGTGGTCCAGCTTCAGTAAAGCTGTTTGTTGAAGCAGCTCAGTCTGAACTGATGAACACATTCAGAGTTTGTAGTTTTACAGTCGAGCTTCCTGATGTAGAAAAGACACAAACACACTGTTGGCTGCTGATCCTCTTCACTGCTTCATGTCCAGCTCTGTGACGAGCTGCTTCCTGAATCTCAATCATCTGTTCAGTCACTGTCGTTGTTCAGTGTTTCCTGTTTGAATGTTTTCATATGATCACACACCCTCTGCTCTGCCCCCCCCCCCCAGAGATGGGGTACTGGGTGTTCCTGTGGTGTCTATTCTCCTCCCTCTTCGTCCACGGGGCCGTGGGGCTGCTCATGCTGGTGATGCTGCAGCGCCACAAGAGAGGCCGCCTCATCACCCTGGTCCTGGTCAGCGTGGGGTTCCTGGCCTCGCTCTGCGGAGGCGTCATCACCAGTGAGTCCTCCCCCACTCACTCTGGTCTCTGTTCATTCTTATTGTAGTGACTCAACAGTGTCCAGTGTCCACTCAGAGAGAGAGAGAGAGAGAGACAGAGAGAGAGAGAGAGAGAGACAGGGGGCGACAGGGGGGGGGAGAGAGAGAGAGGGAGAGAGAGAGAGAGAGAGAGAGAGAGAGACGGGGGGCGACAGGGGGGGGGGGAGAGAGAGAGAGAGAGAGAGAGAGAGAGACGGGGGGCGACAGGGGGGGGGGGAGAGAGAGAGAGAGAGAGAGAGAGAGAGACGGGGGGCGACAGGGGGGGGGGGAGAGAGAGAGAGAGAGAGAGAGAGAGAGACGGGGGGCGACAGGGGGGGGGGGAGAGAGAGAGAGAGAGAGAGAGAGAGAGACGGGGGGCGACAGGGGGGGGGGGAGAGAGAGAGAGAGAGAGAGAGAGAGAGACAGGGGGAGACAGGGAGGGAGAGAGAGAGAGAGAGAGAGAGAGAGAGACAGGAGGCGACAGGGAGGGAGAGAGAGAGACTTCAGACTTCCTCTTTTGTTTCTACATCTCAGGAAGTTTCAGCTCCGTCTGACTGATACTGACAAAATTAAATATAATAATGTTTTTGACTGGATCTAAAAGCATGATTTAGATTGAGAAGTATTTTGAGGGCGTAGTGATGCAGTCAGGGTATGTACAAGAAAAATAATCATAATCACAGTGATGGATTTATGTGAGTGCAGTGAGGTCAGATGATAAAATTCACTGTGTTTGTCTTTGTGCTCAGACGAGCTGATGAATGAAAAACATTTACAGAGCTGATGTTGGACATTTTAAACCTTGTATTGGTCGTCTCCATGGTTACGAGGACGATCGTTGATGATGTGACTTTGTCATTCCTACAGCCTCATCAAAAGTTTCTATATGTAGATATTTAATTTTAAAAGTTGAATCGCTGCTAAACAGCCCATTGTTAACTGTTATACAGTTATAACTGTGAAACCACTGGGAGGGCTGTTTATCATGACAAGTGTGTGTGTGTGTGTGTGTCATAAACAAACAGTAACATCAGGGCTCTGGATCATTGTAATGTTACCAGGCAGAGAGTCTGACAAAGAGATGCTATCCAGATGCATTATGGGAATTGTAGGATCCAGCATTTTGGAACTTGACACAACTGGAGACTGAAGGATTTTTTCCTGCTGCATCAACTTGGTAACACAGGGCTGATCATACAGGACATATTTCAGGTATTGATAAACTGAGTGTATCAGGATATGATGCATTCAAAATCACATGTAAAACATTAAAATCATTATCCACTACATCGTTACAGTTTGAATTATGATTTATTTAACGCCTCTAAAAAATCAAAACCCAAAATCTAACATTGGATTATGGCACGGCACAAAAATAATCAATGCTGTAGTGATTTATCTGTGTTACTGTTTAATTTTATCTGTTATTAGATGCAGCAGATATTATTCAGGCCTTTCTCTGTTTTTCATCTCCTTCCACTCACAGCAGCACAGAGAGATCAGTGGAGGGAACACATGACAGTGACGGGAACACATGACAGAGAAGGGAACACGTGACAATGAAGGGAACACGTGACAATGAAGGGAACACGTGACAATGAAGGGAACACGTGACAATGAAGGGAACACGTGACAATGAAGGGAACACGTGACAATGAAGGGAACACGTGACAATGAAGGGAACACGTGACAATGAAGGGAACACGTGACAATGAAGGGAACACGTGACAATGAAGGGAACACGTGACAATGAAGGGAACACGTGACAATGAAGGGAACACGTGACAATGAAGGGAACACGTGACAATGAAGGGAACACGTGACAATGAAGGGAACACGTGACAATGAAGGGAACACGTGACAATGAAGGGAACACGTGACAATGAAGGGAACACGTGACAATGAAGGGAACACGTGACAATGAAGGGAACACGTGACAATGAAGGGAACACGTGACAATGAAGGGAACACGTGACAATGAAGGGAACACGTGACAATGAAGGGAACACGTGACAATGAAGGGAACACGTGACAATGAAGGGAACACGTGACAATGAAGGGAACACGTGACAATGAAGGGAACACGTGACAATGAAGGGAACACGTGACAATGAAGGGAACACGTGACAATGAAGGGAACACGTGACAATGAAGGGAACACGTGACAATGAAGGGAACACGTGACAATGAAGGGAACACGTGACAATGAAGGGAACACGTGACAATGAAGGGAACACGTGACAATGAAGGGAACACGTGACAATGAAGGGAACACGTGACAATGAAGGGAACACGTGACAATGAAGGGAACACGTGACAATGAAGGGAACACGTGACAATGAAGGGAACACGTGACAATGAAGGGAACACGTGACAATGAAGGGAACACGTGACAATGAAGGGAACACGTGACAATGAAGGGAACACGTGACAATGAAGGGAACACGTGACAATGAAGGGAACACGTGACAATGAAGGGAACACGTGACAATGAAGGGAACACGTGACAATGAAGGGAACACGTGACAATGAAGGGAACACGTGACAATGAAGGGAACACGTGACAATGAAGGGAACACGTGACAATGAAGGGAACACGTGACAATGAAGGGAACACGTGACAATGAAGGGAACACGTGACAATGAAGGGAACACGTGACAATGAAGGGAACACGTGACAATGAAGGGAACACGTGACAATGAAGGGAACACGTGACAATGAAGGGAACACGTGACAATGAAGGGAACACGTGACAATGAAGGGAACACGTGACAATGAAGGGAACACGTGACAATGAAGGGAACACGTGACAATGAAGGGAACACGTGACAATGAAGGGAACACGTGACAATGAAGGGAACACGTGACAATGAAGGGAACACGTGACAATGAAGGGAACACGTGACAATGAAGGGAACACGTGACAATGAAGGGAACACGTGACAATGAAGGGAACACGTGACAATGAAGGGAACACGTGACAATGAAGGGAACACGTGACAATGAAGGGAACACGTGACAATGAAGGGAACACGTGACAATGAAGGGAACACGTGACAATGAAGGGAACACGTGACAATGAAGGGAACACGTGACAATGAAGGGAACACGTGACAATGAAGGGAACACGTGACAATGAAGGGAACACGTGACAATGAAGGGAACACGTGACAATGAAGGGAACACGTGACAATGAAGGGAACACGTGACAATGAAGGGAACACGTGACAATGAAGGGAACACGTGACAATGAAGGGAACACGTGACAATGAAGGGAACACGTGACAATGAAGGGAACACGTGACAATGAAGGGAACACGTGACAATGAAGGGAACACGTGACAATGAAGGGAACACGTGACAATGAAGGGAACACGTGACAATGAAGGGAACACGTGACAATGAAGGGAACACGTGACAATGAAGGGAACACGTGACAATGAAGGGAACACGTGACAATGAAGGGAACACGTGACAATGAAGGGAACACGTGACAATGAAGGGAACACGTGACAATGAAGGGAACACGTGACAATGAAGGGAACACGTGACAATGAAGGGAACACGTGACAATGAAGGGAACACGTGACAATGAAGGGAACACGTGACAATGAAGGGAACACGTGACAATGAAGGGAACACGTGACAATGAAGGGAACACGTGACAATGAAGGGAACACGTGACAATGAAGGGAACACGTGACAATGAAGGGAACACGTGACAATGAAGGGAACACGTGACAATGAAGGGAACACGTGACAATGAAGGGAACACGTGACAATGAAGGGAACACGTGACAATGAAGGGAACACGTGACAATGAAGGGAACACGTGACAATGAAGGGAACACGTGACAATGAAGGGAACACGTGACAATGAAGGGAACACGTGACAATGAAGGGAACACGTGACAATGAAGGGAACACGTGACAATGAAGGGAACACGTGACAATGAAGGGAACACGTGACAATGAAGGGAACACGTGACAATGAAGGGAACACGTGACAATGAAGGGAACACGTGACAATGGAGGGAACATGACAGTGAAGGGAACACATGACACATTTTGAAGCGAAGGATCTGAGCTCTTTCTCTGATGATATGAACATCTTAACGTTTCTCTTTAATGACTGTAGTGTGTTTGTCTTCAGACTGTAACATGTTGTTCTTCCTCAGGCGCGGCGGTGGCGGGGGTTTACCGCGTGGCGGGGAAGGACATGGCTCCTCTGGAGGCTCTGGTGCTCGGCGTGGGACAGACCTCTCTCTCTGTCGTCATTTCCTTCTCTCGGATCCTAGCAACTCTGTGAACGACAGACGCTGAGAGGAGAGCCGACCAATCAGAGACTTAGGCGCTCCTGGAGGCCGGCGTGTAGACAGAGAGGAGGCAGAGACGCTCTGGACCTTTAGGGCTGGACTCAGGACAGAGCGCCCCCCGGTGTCTCTGTTCTGTTACTGCCACAGTCACATTGAACTCAGGCAGGTGAGCTTGATGCTGAAGAGCAGGTGGAGATGAACGTCCTCAGCTTCTCGACCTGGAGCCATGTGTCGGAATTTCAGAGTCGCATCAGTTCTTTGTGCCAACGGCGTCGGAGGATGCCACGACGCCTTCGAGGAAACGGACTCATGAAAAAACCTTTTTTTAAAAAGAGACAGTGACGAGCTGCAATCATGATCAGTGATCAGCTGAGCAGAGAGGGACAAGCCAACAGTGTTCATCAGCAAACACACCTTCATCATCAGCCTCTTCATCATCATCATCATCATCATCAGTCCTGTAACTTCAACAGCTTCAAAGCTGCAGCCTCCAGATCACGAGCAACAAGCAGCTTTGACCTCTGCACTTCGTCAATGTCGGAGAAGGAGGAGAAAACCAGCATCAGTCCAGTTCAAATGCTGATTCAGTGCCAACCAGACCTCACAGTGAGGCATTCTGGGAAATATAATCATTCACTTGATTGATTGATTGATTGATTGATTGATTGATTGATTGATTGATTGATTGATTGATACCACTCTCATGTCTGTACAGTGAATAAGAGGCGGGAACCAGGAGGCAGTTGGCTTAGCTGCCCCACACTAGAGAGGGGGTGAGGTTGTCATGCACAGTCAGTGTTACCTGCAGTAGATTCAGTTTAGAGGAGCAGCAGGAGCACAGGTACACTAGCAGCTGCTGTGGGCGGGGCCTAAAAGACGCCCACTGAAACAATCCAACATCTGTTTAAATGAAGCTTCATGTAGAATATCTTCATCTTTATCTTCAGCTCCTTCTTATTGAGTCAGCTGACCTGCAGCGTGATACCATGCTTAGTGCGCAGGAACACAGTAGTTCAGCGGTTGAGAAAATGTAGTCCCGAAGGAAAGAGCTGTTTGGCAGGAACTTGTTTTTTCTTTTCATATTAAACAAACCAGACAACGACAAGATTCAGATCTTTACATTTGTTCATCTGGAGCCACAAACACTGTCACAAATATTTAATTAATGATGCAGATTATAGATTATATATAGTAGATTACATTAATTATTATTTTTTTAATATTTTTTTTTTTTATAATAATAATTATTATATAATTGATTAACAGAGTGATCGTTGCAGGTCTGAAGTTTAAATCTAAAGCTAAACTAGCTCCAGCTTCACTCACACTGTGCAGACATGAATATGCTTCAGTCCTTCATCACCCCCCCCCCCCCCCCCCCCCCCCCGTCTGGTTAACCCATGTTCCTTAAGTTGAACTCTGCTTATTGCACTGAGTGAATCTTGTTTTAACAGTGTGATGATGATGTGACTCAGTTTGACTCTGATCAATCTGATTGTTGTATTGGGGGTCAAGCATGAAGAAAGTTGTTGAAGCTACTGGTTTAAGTTTTTCACTGATCAGAAACAGGAAGTTAAATAATCCCCCCCCCCTCGGTCCACAGCTCCAGAACCAGGTGGTTGTGATACCAAAGTACCGCTCACATTCAGCTTTATTTATCAGTGAATTATTGATTGATTTCACAGAAATATTGATTTGCACATCAGCTGGAATCAAACGCAGAGAGAGAGAGAGAGAGAGAGAGAGAGAGAGAGAGAGAGAGAGAGAGAGTGTGTGTGTGTGTGTGTTGGAGGCTCTGAAACTGTGTGTTCATGAGTTATATAAGTGACTGTGTGTGACCTTCAGTTCCAGCTCAGCACACAGGGGGGCGCTGTTACACAGAGGGGGGGCTGAGATGATGCTGGATGTTTCTGTCAGAACTAAAGTGTGAAATTTATAATATCAGTGAAATGAGATGTCGTCACTCGGGGGGGGGGGGGCGTCATATTCTTTAGTTGAACCCCAGATCGTCAAACAGGCGGGGACCTAATTGTAG